GTAGAATGAGGATTGTAGTTGAAATGTGTTACTGATTGATATGCACCATCTATTGACAACTTCTTGACCACAGGGTCAGGATAGATAACATCCTGTTTAAGGTGAAACAAATGGCAGGATTATCCTTGGAAACACCCACTTGACCATGACATAAAAAGTCTGACCCAGAGTTTGACTGTTTCTGTATAAATAAAGTGGACAGCTTTCTTGCATTGTCCATTATGATCATGAAATCGTAGTGGTCCATTTCTTTCCTCTTTTCCCCTCATCCACGCACCCTTTTTGAGTTCTGAACTCGGCTGTAGCTGGACTCTAGCACTCCTGGATCATACACTCTTCTGGAGGTTCTGCAGTTTAACTTGACAGAATTAGCCTCCAGTGTCAGCCTCCACCAGCTGATGCTGCGGCAAAGCTCAACCAACCCTCACCCACTCTAATTTATGCTTGCACCAGTCCTTAACAGTAAGCCCAGCCTGTTTTTTTTCCTGATCTAGCTCACATGAGGCCCACAGGTTTTGTAGCCGTGCCCAACCTGGTCTGCCTCTATCCCAAATCATGCTCTCCAGTGGAAGCGGCTGTTCAGCAGGGGAGCACTTCACATTCCACCTACCAGCTTTTCCCCCACCCTCCCTCTTTTTAACATGTGCTTGTTAGTCACTATGTCCCACCCTGGCATGGCCTACTTCACCTCGGCACTTGCCAGTGGGTGCTGTAGCCTGGCTCATCCAAGTCCACCCCTAATTCCAGCTCATGTTGCTGGGGGTTACAGCATGGCCTAGTCTTCCAGCACCCATCCTGGCCAAAATGTTCACAGGTATGTGTTGCGACCCAACCTGGCCTGACCCACACTGTTCTGGTGTTTGGATTCACCAGTGGGTGATGTGAACGGGGTCAGCCTGCTTGCCTCCAACCTATGCCAATGTGTACTGGTGAGTACGTTTACCTGGCCTGGTTCCAGCTGCTTTCTATCATAATTCTTGCGCTCACCTGCAAGGACAATGTCCTGATAGAGGAGTTTCCCAATCAGTTCCTCCATCAGAACCTCTCCCAAGGCCAGATCTTGAACATACCCATGGATCCATGGGCCAGTACACCTCCTGGCCAGGCAGGAACAGCGGCCTTTCCTTACTGGTTTTCAACCCATTCTAGTTCTTACTGTTGGATGTTTCAGCCCAGACAAAGCTAATTCATATGCAGACACAGCTCAAACATGGCTCAGTAGGGGCAGAGACCTATCCTAGTTCGTCCTACATCTATTCCTGTTTTCATAAGCACAAGTTGGTGCTGGAGTCCAGCCTGGATCTGGTGCACCCCGCTCCACACTTGTTCCAAGGGAGACTGCAGCCATATCCAGACCAGAACTCAGCCCCTACTCTGGCCACAACAATCACCAGTGGGACCTCCAACACAGCCAGGGTGTCCCCTTAGCTCCCCAACCAGACTTGTTCCCAGTCCTAGATTATGTGCATACCAGTGGTTGCTATGACCTTGCTTGGCATAGCCACTCACCTGTCTTGGCCTTTGCCGTTTATGCTGTGGCCTAGCATCCCTGGTTCACGCAGACCAGTAAGTAAAAGAGCCAGTTTGACATCACCTGTGCTCCATCCTGGTTTCTTTTCTTGCTGTTGAGCTAAGGTTTGCTTGGCCCTGCCCAATCTGCCCCATTCTATTACCAACCCACACATTAGGGAGCTATTTAAGCTACTTTGCCCAGCTTGCGAGGCCTGGACCATGTGATCACCAGTGAGAGTTGTGACACACTAGGGGAATTTCCCAAGTTCCCCCACTAGACCCAATCCTATACACAGATTTCATACATGACAGTTGGCATGCAAGGCTGGACTACAACATCCATTGGTTCCAGTGGAAGTCAGAGCTGAAAACAGGACCCAGCAATTGCAACAACCAGATGATTGGGGCAATGGAGTGTGCCTGGCCCTGTGCTTGCTAGTATATACAAGAATCTGGTCTGGGAACACCTCAAATTTTCTTTCGAGATCTCCGCAATCGAAATGCTGGACTCAGAACCCTAACCAAGAAAAGAGCAAAGACAGAAAAGTCAATCAACAACCCCAGCTATACGCTGGCAGCGAAATACTGGGCAAATGGAGAATCTATGATGGACTATGTCAATCAGTGGATTCTTCAACGACCTCATCATGCATTGAGTGGCGAGACTGGATTCATAACTGGTGAACTATCAAAACCACTTGAGTAAGACCCTCAGAGCATGCCCAACATCAGAGAGCTGGGGTGGGTGGGAAACTGGGTGGGGCTTCTCCCTCAATATCCCCCTTTACCTCAGATACATGAAGGAAACATTATGGAAGCAAAAGTCTTACCTACTTCCCTATAGCCCTTGAAAGTTTTTACCCAAACTATGTAAAGATTGTCAAAAATACAATAAAAAAAATGAAAAAAAAATTCTAACACGAACCCAGCTTTTCTGAAATTTTTATTCAATTAAAAAATATTTCAGGTTGGCTTCACTACTTGTCCTAAATTCCTGGAACCCCTAGCCTTTTTCACCATGGGAAAAATAAAAAAAGTGGAAGTTGCAGGGAGAAGACTGAAGAGACAAAAAGTTCCAAGGGGCCTTCAAGTTCAACCTTCTCACTATTAAGAAGGGAGGACAAAGGTCCAGAATGATGATTTAACTGTATGCCCAGGGATTAATACCACAAGTTGCAATGACTTTTACTTCACCACACACTGTTTGAGAAACTGGATGGGGTGTAGATTGGAAACACACACACACAATTTCCCACTCTAACAGGAATTCCCACATCCTAGAAATGACTTCTTCCATCTGAAAAATGTAAGCCTGGTGACTCCACCATGGTGTTCAATTCACTCTGAGTGATAAAAATCACCTATGCCTTATGTGCCAAGCTCAGATCAGCTTATTGTAGAAAGGGGCCATGTTGGGTCAGTTCATAACATCCACTAGTACATCCGAGAACCTGGATGGGGTATAGGATTGGGATCCTGAGACAGGGAACATGCTGGGATTGGCTAGGCTGCAGCATACAGCAGCATGACCTGCAAATGGAAACAGGCTAGACTCAGCACATGCTGATGAATGATGAGGCAGGTCATGCCACTCAGGGCGAGGTGGGTGCTGGACCCGTGTGCCCTGGGTGGGGGAGGTTTGGTGGGACCCTGGCAGCTTGGGCCAGGGACTTGGGCATGAGCCCCAGTAGCTATGTCTGGCAGAGTTTATGTCACCTGGCCTAGGTCCTTGAACAGACACAGGTGCATATTGGGTCTGCAAGTCCCTGGAGCAAAGGGTGCATTGGGTGTCAGTTCACCTGGCTTGGGGCCTTTGCAATGCTGCATGGTGGGTGCCTTATTTGAGGGCAGGGTTATAATGAAAAAGCCAGAGGCAGGGAGATATCTTCCATTGACTCCCATCCCAAATGGCTGAACTGCAGTATCTGAGCTGGTGTGAAGTCAGAATCCAGAAGCAAGACCAGAAGTGGATCAACTAGGAAGTGAACCAGTGGTGCCCATCTGGCATGCCAGCACCTCAGAGACAGCTAACCTGCAATGCCACAGTGCTGCTCCTGCTGCTCAGTTTCACAGTTGAAAGATCTCAAGCACAGACTGGTATCTAGTGAATTAGCTCACCCAATGGTAAAAAAAAAAAAAAAACAAAAAAAAAAAAACTTGATGTGGAAAGCCATCATGCGCAAAAGCAATGTGAATCTGAGCAGTAGTGGTGGCAGTGGACACATAAATGTCAAGAGTCTGATGCCAGACAATTCTTATGTCTCTGGGATATACTTGCTAGCACCTTGGGGGGTTTCATGACCAGCAGACCCCAAGACGACTCAGGGGTGAGGCTTTGGGGTTCTTGAGCTGCACAACCATCAGAGACCCTGGTGTGGGATGTCCATTTATTGGGGAGAATGTGAAAGCTTTTATACAGCAAAAAGGGGGAAGCGAGAAGGGTGGTCTCAACAGTACTTCCACACAACAGGATGAGGATTGCATTTAACTTCTTAGAGTTGCTTGTCAGGGAAATTCTAGCGCCGCTCCTCCATTGACAGAGAAACTGGGGTGCAACCCACAGCTCTGGCTACATGCCCAGTGCACAGGCCAGGTAGGAGTCTCAGACTACTGTCAGGAAATTCCCCAGAGGAAAGGAAAAGAGCCACGTGCCTATGGCTTTCCACATGAATGAGCAGGCAGAGATCCATGGGCAATCTCCCACAGTAGAGTATTCAAGGAGAGACAATGGCTGTACAGGATCCACACTTGGCCAGATGTCACAAGAGTCATCCTGTAAAACTGAATCTTTATCATTACAATTGCCATATGCATCAGTTAGCTGGGATTCCAAGATCAGTCATAACAAATTGTGGAAATTTGAGATTCTGAAAAAGCTACCTTAGATATGTGTGGAAAAGATAAGGACGGATTTCAAACATGTGTCATGAACGGAACATTTACTGGCAAAATTAAAATCTGAAAGCAGAACTCATTCACGTTTTCCCTCTCAAAACAAAGGATTATGTACAAATTTGCTGAGATTTTCAAAGTGTTTCTCCCCCATCCATTGCACTTTTACAGTGTTTTCTATTTGCACTTTTGCTAATGGTGGCTTCACTCACTTTGTAAGCTCTGAGAAACCATGAGAGCAGGTTTGTGGTAGCTCATCTTTCCATGTACATGGTTTTGTTTTCCTAAGCTCTGCTGTTCTGCTGAATACTGACTTCAGAAAAGGATTTTTAAAGTCAATGCAGTGATACTTCTATTGCACACAAAATGTGTTTGTGTATGAATTTTTCCACATTAGAGCAGAAATACTAAAAAAAAAAAAAAAAGAAAAAAAAAGTTTTTCCACACTCATTATTCACCAAATTTCTTTGTGAATTTGCTGATGTAAAATGAGACCTGAGTGTCGGTAAAGACTTTTCCACACAAATTACTTTTGTAGTTTTTCTCCAGTGTGGATTCTCTGAGGTACGATTAGGTTTGACTTATGAGAAAATGCTTTACATATTCACTATATTCATAAGGGTTTTCTCAGTGTGGACTCTCTGATGTCCAATGAGACCTGACTGGCTGGCAAAGGCTTTCTGACATTCACTACATTTATAAGGTTTTTCCCTTCTGTGGGTTCTCCGATGTCTAGCGAGACCTGACTGGTTGGTAAAGGCTTTTCCACACTCATTACATTCATAAGGTCTTTCCCCTGTGTGGGTTCTATGATGTTTAATGAGATCTGCCTGGTTGGAAAAGGCTCTTTGACACTCGTTACATTCATAAGGTTTTTCCCCTGTGTGGGTTCTCCGATGTCTAATGAGACCTGACTGATTGTTAAAGGCCTTTTCACACTCATTACATTGATAAGGTTTTTCCCCAGTGTGGATTATGTGATGTCGAAAGAGATCTGACTGGCATCTAAAGGCTTTTCCACACTCACTGCATTCATAAGGTTTTTCCCCAGTGTGGATTCTATGATGTAAACTTAGCTGATATTTCTGAGAAAAAGCTTTTCTACACTCAATACACTCATAAGGTTTCTCCCCTGTGTGGGTTCGTTGATGTCTTATGAGGTCTGACTGGCTCATAAATGCTTTTCCACACTCATTACATTCATAAGGTTTTTCCCCAGTGTGGGTTCTCTGATGTACAATGAGACCTGACTGTTTGGCAAAGGTTCGCCCGCATTCACCACATTCATAAGGTTTTTCGCCAGTGTGGATTCTCCAATGCATGATCAAGTTTGACTTACGAGAAAACGTTTTTCCACACTCAGTACATCCATAAGGTTTTTCCCCTGTGTTAATTCTCTGATATGTAATGAGAGATAACTGCTGGTAAATGGCTTTTTCAAGTTCACTGCATTCATATGGCTTCTCTGCAGTGTTTACGATCTGATCTCCTGTGAGTTGTGACTGCTTGTAAAAAACGTCTTCACATTCATTGCACACATAGTAATTTTCTCCTGTGTCAATTCTCTGCTTGATCTTAATGCAAGACTTACTGCTAAAAATGTTTTCACAGTAGCAGCACATATAGTGACTTTTTGCTGTTTGGGTTATCTGATTTACTTTAAGATCAGATCTAGAAAGAGATTTCTCACTACTGAAATGTTCATGGAGTTTCTCTCCTGATTGTGTTTGCTGATAATTGCAAAAGTAAGGATCGTTTTCGAATATTTTCTTTTCAATCTGAATTGCTTCTTCTATATTGCCAAGTGACTCAGTACATGAGTCTTCGGTATAATCCTTCTCACACATAAGGAACATTTTGTTCCCAGTTAAAGTTTCTGTTTCCTCACTGTGTTCAAAAGACTGCTGACAAATGTGCATCTTGTCATGCTGAATGACATCTTCCACATTCTGGAGGTTATTGTCAAGAATATTAAAGGTATCCTTTTTCTCAAATGGCATTTTACCAGGCTTCCTAGAGGGAAAAGAAAAAAAGAAAAAGATTTCAAATAAGCCATGGATGGATGGCCCTTTGCTCTCTCTTTTCAAAAGGCACTCTGTGTCTGCACTCCCTCATGGGATGTGCTTTACCCCTCCACTTTTCCAAGTTCACCTGGTGACTTAGCAAGTAAAACTCCCTCAGTACATTCTGAATGCCAACCGCTGGACATGATACCCAAGTTCGGGGCTCCTTTTTCATGTTTCAGGTTGGTTTATCTATGTTGGAGGAGTGATGAGACTCCTGGAATGCCCAAGTATTCTGCTTGCTTTTTTCTTTTTTTTTTGATTAAGACTTATTTATTTTTGTTGGAAAGTCTGATATACAGAGAGCAGGAGAGACAGAGAGGAAGATCCTCCGTGTGCCGATTCAACTTTGCAAGTGGCTGCAACAGCTGGAGCTGAGCCGAACCAAAGCCAGGAGCCAGGAACTTCTTCCCAGTTTCCCACACAGGTGTAGAGTCACAAGGACTGCTTAGATTAAATCAGTGCTGATATGGGACCCCAGGTGTGCAAGAAAACCACTTTAGCCACTAGGTTAATAGGCCAGGCCCTTGTGTTTGATCTTTTGAAATGACCTGTGTGGGGTGGGCCTTTCAATGTAGTTGAATTGAGAATAGCCCAGTTTCTTTATTTTGTCTCCTGTCCCGATGTGATCACTCAAGTGGCTTCCTACCTATGATACCTGAACAACCACAGAATGGCAGTGGTATATCTGGAGCGCCACAGTAAGAGCTATTTCCTGGCTGCTTGAGAGACAACCAATGGGAAATGTCTTACCCACACATACCAGCCCAGACAATGAAAGGTCAGGGCACACTGAAAAACCTAAGAACCCTTTGAAAAATTTTAGTGATTCTACCTCTTTCCATTAAGAGGCACACCATGCCCTGGCTCTCTACCAAGAAATGCTATTCATTTCCGTCTGCCCTCTGCATCTACCTGGTCAGTTTAAGAAATAAAACTTCTGGGCCCAGCACCATTACCTAGCTGTTAAAGTGCTTGCCTTGAAAGCACTGGAATCCCATATGAGTGCAGGTTCTAATCCCAGCAACTCCACTTCCCATCCAGCTCCCTTCTTGCTGCTTGGGAAAGCAGTTAAGGACGGCTCAAAGCCTTTGGACCCTGCACCCGTGTGGGAGACCCCAAAGAAGTTCCTGGCTCCTGGCTTAGGATCAGCATAGCACTGGCCATTGTGTTCACTTTGGGAGTGAACCATCAGACTGAAAAATCTTCCTCTCTGTCTCTCCTCTTCTCTGTATATCTGACTTTGTAATGAAAATAAAAATAAATCTTCAAAAAATAATAAATAAAACTTCTGCCTACAATTGGAAAAAAAAAAAAAATCACACTTCTCAACTTTCCTTCCTGTATAATTTCCCTTTCATACCGTGTGTCAGTTATGGCCAGAGTTAGTATTAAGCCTCTTTGGCAATGCAACTCTCTTTTGGGTCATTACATAACTTTTGTAATTACAACTTGCCTGAAGTTTATTTCTTCACTCTTCTGATTAGCTCTAAGCAGCTCGTTCTCTCAATCTCCTGTGTATCTGTCTTTCCAATGAAAAAATAAAAGCAGTAAGACTCAGAAGCAGTAAGAACAATTCCAAACTGGACAAATAACTAAACAGACATTTCTACAAAGAAGATGCTCACAATGGTTTGTCATTAGGTGAATGAAATAGCAACCCCAACGAGATACCCCTTTATATCCATTGCAATGCTCTTCATTCAAAAATGTTCACAAAGAGACACTGAAGTTAAGCATGACTGACTGAAGTGCAAAATGATGAAACTAATACTAAAAATGGTACTCAAGCCTACATTGCTAACTTTCTCACCAACTTTGGAACCAGTCCAGGTTATCCCTTTGAAGAAGCAGGGAATGGTCTGCCCCTGTGTCATTAAAGCTGTAAGTGGACTTTTAAAGCTGTGGACTTTTGCCCTGCTGTTGTCCTGGGAAAGGAAGAGGATGGATCAGGTCCTTGGGCACATGTACCTATGTGGGACCCCAAAAGAGGCTTCTGTCTTTGGATTGGCTTAGCTCTTGCCATTGCACCCATGTGGGGAGTAAAGTTACAGATGGATGACCAGTCTCTATCTGTCTCTCTCTCATTCTCCATATTATCTTTTTCTCTGCAACCTTGTATTTCAAATAAAAACCAAACATAATGCAACAGGGACCTAGCCCTGTGGTATAGCAAATAAAGCCACTGGCATCCCACATGGACATTGGTTCATATCCTATTAATAAACAATTTTTTTTTTTTACTTGGAAACTCCTACCACTTCAAAATGTTGAGCGTTAATTTGCAGAAGGTACTCAATGATTTTCATTATATCATCTGTAAGTACAAAAAAATACCATGTGGTGCCTGGTGTGGTGGCCTAACTGCTAAAGTACTTGCCTGGAACACACCAGGACCCCATATGGGCACCAGTTAGTGTCCTGGTAGCTGTGCTTGCCATCCAGCTCTGTGCCTGTGACCTGGGAAAGCAGTCGAGGACGACCCAAAGCTTTGGGACTCTGCACCTGCGTGGGAGTCCTTGAACTTTCTGGCTCCTGGTTTTGGATCGGCACAACACTGGCTCTTGCGGCCGCTTGGTGAGTGAATTATTGGATGGAAAAAGATCTTCCTCTCTGTCTCTCCTCCTTTATATATATACATATATATATATATATATATATCCAACTTTGCAATACAAATAATTTTTTTAAAAAATGCCATTTCAAAGTGGATATCTTACAATCATTAACAAATTCTTAGTTTCATTTTGAATCATGTAATAACTGCCATGTTTTGTTATGGCATCTGAAAACCTGGAGAGAAAGTTTCAATCAGCTTTGACAGCTCCAAGGTCTTAGGACAATTTTACCCTCTTTCTCTCATACTTGGTTTTTCATTTTAGTGTAAAAATCATCATGAAGCTCATCAAATACATTGTGCAACCAGCTGAGAAGTAAACCAACAACTTACTGAAGGTGTGTCTGTGTTCTCCAGCCTTGTAAGCGTGTAGTGGGATGCTTGGATACACCTGCAAGAGAAGGTGGAGAGAGGAAGTTATGAATCAGGCTTACTTGTTTTTCAGTCTCCTTGGTGGCTCCTACTGTGCTAAGTCAGTCATGTCAAGACAGGAAGCAGACACAGTGCCTGGAGAAACAAACAGCTTCCCTGGGCAGGAATGGTGCTTTACAGATGACAAGTGCCAGGAATGCTTCCTGGAAACAGTATCAACAGTTTCAATAATTGGTAGTAATTAAACTGAAGGTATCATCAGGTTAATGTAAACAACCACTACTTATTTAAAAATAACGTTACTGCCAAACACAATCAACCATAGGAAAAATATCATAGTGTCATTAAAATTTATACTACAAAAAAGAATTGGGTGATAGTAAGTACTTCTCTATCTATACAGATGAGCTGCATAGGACTCTGTAAGGACTTCCATTAGAACACATCTTGCTGTTAATAGTAAAAGCTCTGTACAACGCAAATATGTTTCAATCAGAGTAATTTTGCATATAAGTACACATGAAAATGCATATACTACACATTTATTCTATACAGCTTTCCAACAATTTTTCCAAATAAAATTTCCCAAGACCTCACACAGACTTCCCAGTTCCTAAACCCTCAATGACACTTGACTTTGCCACTTCCTTTGCTTTAGCCCATAGGACACCCTTAAATATGACAGCAACAAAGTTTTAAGAGTGCTTTTACTTTACCTCATTAAATAGCTACATTAAGGCAGCAGCCAGAGAAAACCATCAGACTGTGAAGGTACTGACACAGGAGGTTGGGCTGCTGCTTGGGACAGATCATATCTGATCCCCAAATGCCTTGTTTGTGTCTACTGGCTATTTAACTCTCCCAGTGCAGTATCATGCAATTGTGCCTGGAACACAGTGGGTGCGTTCCAAGAATCCCCTGGGAAACCTGGATGGATTCCTATGGCCAAACTAAGCATGGCAGAGCCGTGACATCTTGTGAGTGAATCAAGCAGCTGATGGAACATCTCCCTGCTCTCTGTAATCTAGCCTTCAAGTAAGCATAGTATTTATAAAATAATTACAAACAAATATATTCTAGGTTAATTGTGGATACATCTTGTTAAGTCAAAAATAATAGCATTTCAAATTCAATTGAAAAAACTTCAAAAAGACATTTCTATTATTGATTTTTTTTTACATATAATTGAGCTCTGGTTTGTTTTGTTCATATTAAGAAACTATCAGTAGTAAAATTATTTAAATATCTTAAAAATCATTGAGATGGATTCATTCTAAAACCTGCAGTGCTTCTGATTGGCATTAATGAGCAACTGCCATTAAATGAGGAAAAACTGCATTACGAGCATATTGTATTCACACAATCCAAGTATTGGAAAAGGAAAAGATTAGTAATGTTCAAGAACGTGGCCTAAAACAGTGGGTCTTTTTCTAAATTGACTTAGCTTCCTGAAAGGAATCTCAAAAGTAAAAAGTGATCTCCTCTTAACCTCTGGCAGCCGTCTGCTGCGGAGGCCGCCAGGCAAGACGGTCGCCTCATGCCTACTTCATATGAGCCAGCTACCACGTGGACATGGTGAGCCACTCCCAGGCTTGCCTGACAATGCTACAGGAGCGGAC